CATCCATCTATCTATCATCCATCTATCTATCATCCATCTATCTATCATCCATCTATCTATCATCCATCTATCTATCATCCATCTATCTATCATCCATCTATCTATCATCCATCTATCTATCATCCATCTATCTATCATCCATCTATCTATCATCCATCTATCTATCATCCATCTATCTATCATCCATCTATCTATCTATCATCCATCTATCTATCATCTATCTATCATCCATCTATCTATCATCCATCTATCTATCATCTATCTATCATCCATCTATCTATCATCTATCCATCTATCATCCATCCATCCATCCATCCATCTATCTATCTATCTATCATCCATCTATCTATCATCTATCCATCCATCCATCCATCTATCTATCATCCATCTATCTATCATCTATCATCTATCATCTATCATCCATCTATCCATCTATCTATCATCCATCTATCTATCATCTATCATCTATCATCTATCATCCATCCATCCATCCGTCCGTCCATCCGTCCGTCCGTCTTCTCCCTTACACAAATCATTCTATGAGCTCAGGGCGTCTCTCAGCCCTGCAGAGAGTTTTCAGATGACTCACAAAAAAAGATGAGAAAGCTGTGAACTTCAACCCTGCCAGTAAAGGCTAAGTCTTATTGCTGGCCTCAAGCGATTCTCACTACAGCAAGTGGCCCGTGCCTGTGCTTGCCCGGTGCTTAATGTGCTTCCAGAGGCCTGGAGATTCCACTCTCTGATAAATATTTTCTCACCTCCCCACAGCTCACACTTCAGTAAACACCACTGAATCACAGAGTTAATCAAAGCGTGGAGCGCTCCTGTGATGTGGGTAGTACAGTGATTGTCAATGCTTGGATCGCAGATTATTGCATAGTTTGGAAAGGTTGGGTGCTGGTCTGATAAAGAGTCTGAACGGGTCTACGTGCCTGGCTCAAATTATTCATAACTTCATGTCATTAGATGAAAAAAACAAAAACAAATCTCTTTTGAAATTGTCACCAGCACTCAATGCCATAAAAGTGTCAAATATGCTGACTTGTAAATTCAACTTATTTTTTAATTAGTATTATTTTTGTTATTATTCAAATTATTGTTTTAAATAAACTAAATAATAATAATAATAATAATAATAAATTATAAAAAAATAAATATACCATTTCATATAAGGTAGATTTATTTTGCTATGTTGCTTAACGTATATCATTCTGAGACCCAGCAACTTATTTGAAATTGGCATATGATTGTTGTTAATATCTCGCGACCATACATGCCACCGTTTGGACACTGTGTGGCTTTTCAGCAATACATACTTTTGGGGGCGTGGCCAAATAATGAATATTAATATGTATCCGAATAAAATAAACTAAATAATAATAATAATAATAATAATAATAAATTATAAAAAAATAAAACCGTATTCCACCTACAATGAAAAATAATAAAAATATTTTTAGAAAATATTGATTTATTTTATAATATAAAATAATAATAATGATAATGACAACAACAATAATGATAATAATAATAGTAAATTATAAAAAATAAAGCATGTTATTCCACCTGCAATGGAAAATAATTATTAATTAAAATATATTTAGAAAACATTAATTTGTAATAATAATAATAGCAATAATAATAATAATAATAATAATAATAGCATAAAAATAAAACATGGTATGAACAATGAAAAATAATTATTAATAAAAATACATTTAGAAAATATTCATATTTTAGAATATAAATTAATAATAATAATAATAATAACAACATAAAAATAAAGTATGGTATGAACAATGAAAAGTAATTATTAATAAAAATACATTTAGAAAATATTCAGATATTTTAGAATGCAAATTAATAATAATAATAATAATAACATAAAAATAAAACAGTATGAACAATAAAAATGAATTATTAATAAAAATACATTTAGAAAATATTCATATATTTTAGAATACAAATTCATAATAATAATAATAATAACAACATAAAAATAAAACATAGTATGAACAATAAAAAATAATTATTAATAAAAATACATTTAGAAAATATTAATATATTTTAGAATATAAATTAATAATAATAATTCTTATTGTTATTGTTATTATTATCATCGTCATCATAATTGTTCAAGAAATAAACAATGATGCTGAGAATATATAATATATGTATAGATCAATATATACTGGACCAGGATGAAATATCAAAAATAAAATAAAAATAATAATAATAATGAAATGCCATTATAATGGCAGTCTAATGTGAGTTTTGAGTAAATGTTGCTTAAAATAAATGTCAAACATTAATTAAAAGTATAATTTACTCAAAACTAACTTCAGACTGCCATTATAATGGCACATTAATATTATTTTTATTTGAGATATTTCATCCTGGCCCAGTATATATTGATCTATTACTATAGTACACAAGAGAGTTTAGCGATTTTGTAACGCATCCATCCATTCCCTTCTCATTTTGTTTCCTCCAAGACTTTAGGGAATAATTGAGTTTTATTTTTGTTTTTCCACCTGCATTAGCAGGAACAATGTGCCATCTCCTTTTCTCTAGAGTGTTTTTTACCTCGCTGTCTCGTGGAAAATGGGTTGTACTGTGACGACCCCCTCGACACCAGTAGAGAATGTGGAGTGGTGTTTCTCCGCAGGGCTAATAGATCACTGCACAATCTAATAACACAAGGTTATCTGCTTCACTGCCCATTTCCTTCAAGGCCATGAAGCTAAACGTGGAATAGTGTGTTCCCTTCTCTGACCTGTGGCCTTGCGCCCCATTTTATGGTGATTCATCTTTTGTCTATGCTCATTTGCTTGGCTGCTTATGGAACCACTATAGGTGCATTTTGCTTTTCATATGTCTTTTATACTTACAGTAAGCGGTTCTGTGTTGTACTGAACGTGGCAGAAGTATGTGAATGTATGGTAAGTGCTAAATCTGCTGTTGGTATGTTTCTGTCAGATGCCCGGACATGCAGCATGGCGAACTGCCAGTACGGCTGTGAGGTAATGAAAGGAGAAGTTCGCTGCCAGTGCCCTTCTCCAGGTCTACAGCTGGCTCCAGATGGCAGGACCTGTGTGGGTATGTGTTCATGGCTAATGCATTTCTGCAGCAGCTGATCACAATTCACTGCTTTAAATGGGAATCAAAGTTTCCTCGAGCTTTAGAAATAACATTCACTCTTATTTTGTCGGTAAACCCCCAGTTCAAAAGAATCATCTCTTTAAATCTGTCATTAAAAGTGCCAATAAATTAGCTGTCAATAAAAAGTGTCATTTAACTGTATAAATAGTAGATAATACGTACAATTTTTATAAATTATTAGTGCTGTCAAACGATTAATCGCGATTAATCACATTCAGAATAAAAGTTTTTATTTACATAATATACAGGTGCATCTCAATAAATTAGAATGTCGGGGAAAAGTTCATTTATTTCAGTAATTCAACTCAAATTGTGAAACTCGTGTATTAAATAAATTCAATGCACACAGACTGAAGTAGTTTAAGTCTTTGGTTCTTTTAACTGTGATGATTTTGGCTCACATTTAACAAAAACCCACCAATTTACTATCTCAACAAATTATAATATGGTGACATGCCAATCAGCTAATCAACTCAAAACACCTGCAAAGGTTTCCTGAGCTGTACTGTGTGTATTTATTATGGATATATAAAAATACACACACATAGAGCATATATTTTGAAAATATTTGCATGTATATACATGTATATATTTATATTCATATAATTTGCATTATATATAAATATATATAATATATAATCGTAACATATTTTTCTTAAATATATACATGTATGGGTGTGTATTTGTATATACATAATAAATATACACAATACACACATATACTATGTAAACAAAACCTTTTATTTTGGATGCGATTAATCACGATTAATCGTTTGACCACTATAGATTATATATAAATTTCATATATATTATACACTATTTATAAATGATTAATTTATAAATTAACATTACTCTTTCAGCTCTTAATTTATTAGTATTTATTATTAATTATTAATTATTTATAATTTTTCAATTCTCCAACTGTTAACATTAGAAATGACACTAGCAATGGCATTCATTAAGAAAAAAGTCTCAATAAATATGATACATTTTGCATAATAATAGTATTATATATTATTATGTATTTTTACATAATCATTATACGTAACTACATATTAATATATAAGACTTAATAATATATTAACAATAATTAAATTCATATATATTTTATTTTTTATTATTTTAATGCCAAATATATATATATATATATATATAGTATATGATGCTATAAATGCCATTTTCAGGGAATGAAGATACTGATAAAAATGTATAGGCCTATCCAGAAATTGCCTTGAATGAAAGCATCTGTTAATTTGCATAACTGTAAATAGATGTAGACTTCAGGCAGGAAAAAAACTGAATAAAAAAATGATATGACCCCTTTAATTCAGAAGAAAATAGAGTGCAATCTCTTTGTACTCTTGTCATCTTTTGAATATGTGACATGATCTAGACTTTTTCTGTTGTGGCTGTCAGACAAGATGACAAAATTTTGCTATTATGTTCGTATCACACAAAACAGTCGCTTTCATTCATGGCTACGTTCCTGCTCTTAAACCTTAAAGATCGCAATAGTCCTTGACAACAGAGCTGAGCTTCTGTCTTTAGATCCGGTAATTATGCTTTAAGTGCTTGGAAATTTCATTGTGGTATTCATTAATGACTGCATTAATGGCATGCCATAGTCTCAGAGACCACATCTTACATAAACATCTTTAAGAAGCCCATATTCACATCCTAACCACACAGTTCGCTAAATCACAAACGGAATGCGACAAATTGAGTCCGTTAACCTGCAGCACTTCTGCACACACATATGTCTAGCCTCCACTCTTTACATTTTTCCCACCTTTCTGCCTTTTTCTGGAGGCTATGAGGAGAACAGTGTGAGTTTTTTAAAAGAGGACCATCAATCAGAGACTGACCATCTTAATGTTTCACAGCACAGGTGTTCAACTCTTCAGGTATTTCAGCAGAGGACTTTTATTGCTCCGAGGAGGGCAGCGCGTGTTAGATGGATGTCTGTACATGCACACAAAAGTGTTGAGTTTGCTGCACGCTGCTCTCAGACTCCTGCAGAGCGTTCACATGCCGCTTGATGCATATCGCAATTTAGCTAAACTGTAAATGCAGCATATGCCAACACAAAAATGTTAAAGTATATATATAAAGAGTAATGTACAGAGAGCCAGACAACATCTCCAACAGCATTACGCAACATATACGTTGACAGATCATGAATAACAGTAAAAACCTCAAGAACCAGACTTTAATTCACTTTGATCCAAAAACCCAAAGAGCTTGTAAAAGAGTGGAGAAACGACGGATTGATGTGTTTGTTTTGCAGATGTGGATGAATGTGCCACAGGTCAAGCGGTTTGTCCGCGGTTCCGTAAGTGCATCAACACATTTGGGAGTTACATCTGCAAGTGCCATGATGGCTTCGACCTGCAGTACGTCAACGGGAAATATCAGTGCGCAGGTGAGCCGTTTCAGTAAATACAGAGGATGTGTTTGTTTGACAGCTAAAAACCTTTCAAACAATGTGAATTAGTAGTCATATTTTGATTTGAAGATTCTGAAATACTGAAAACTTTGCTTTTGCAAAAAGCAAAAAAAATCTCTAAAAAAAATCTTTGTCCACTTTACTCACATTCCTGCCAACAGCAGATGATTTGTGCCAAGTTCAGGTTTGAAATAATACAGCGGCAATTGTTTTAAACAACATTTCACGTTTTTCAATTTTATAAATAGATATCAAGTTCACTCTGTTCCAAAACTTAGTGAGTTGCCTGTAAGAGGCATTTTCTGGTCTAATAGGTTTGCTTTCAAAAAGTGGGCAAAATGCATTGGCAACCTTACATTGGCTAGTTGTAAGAAATTACAAGACACCCCCCCCCCACCCCCCCACACACAA